TTTCCTGCAATAGCAAAAATATCCCTCTGGGCAACTAAACCAGGAAATCCCAATTGAATGGCCCCCCAAATACAGAATGGGCCACTTGGAAGTCCCGGAACAGACTCAGAAGTGGAGTGGGCAGATCAAAAGACAACCTGGCAAAATGGCACGACCTAAAAGAATCCCACACCTTGTGTGACTGTGGAGCAGAACAGACAACTCCGCATCTGTGTGCTTGTCCACAATGCCCTGCCTCATGCGCAGAGGAAGAATTGTTGGAGGCTACAGACCATGCGGGTCACTGTTGCACGTTTTTTGGTCAAAAGATATTTAGCTGCTTGTGCTTCTTCTATTTTTATCAGTTTATTATCCTAATTTAGGCTATACTTTTGATACAAAATAAATAAATAAAAACATGGAGGGAGGTGGGGTTTTCTACACAGCCACAAATTCCAGAATATCAAGGCAGAAAATCCCACAATACCTGCTTGTCCACAATGCCCTGCCTCATGCACAGAGGAAGAATTGTTGGAGGCTACAGACCATGCGGGTCACTGTTGCACGTTTTTTGGTCGCAAGATATTTAGTTGCTTGTGCTTCTTCTATTTTTATCAGTGTATTAGGCTATACTTTTGATACAAAATAAATAAATAAAAACATGGAGGGAGGTGGGGTCTTCTACACAGCCCCAAATTCCAGAATATCAAGGCAGAAAATCCCACAATACTTGCTTTGAACTGCCTTCTGACTGAGTCCACAGTCAGATAATGTGGTATTGATATTCTGGGATATATGGCTGTGTGGATTCCAACAGACCACTCAACCTCTGAGGATGCCTGCCATAGATGTGGGTGAAACGTCAGGAGAGAATGCCACAGGCCAGAAAACTCACAGCAACCAATTATATTCCCTCCCCCCTCCCCACAAAAAACAAAACAAACCACCGAAAATGGCTTCACCGCAGGCCAAGAATATAAATGCTACTACCAGCAATTCAAGAGGCATAAAAATTTAATTTAAACTCGTAGATATATATATATTTATAATTATATATATATATATATATATATTTAAAACTATGAAACAATTTTGGGAAAAGACACAGAAATGTATATATAATATATTCATATTTATATTAGCCAAAAAACCGACATGGATGGGCTGTACAGGTGGTTTCGGGTTTCATAATTTACTTCCATGAGAATGGCAATAATAGCGTGACCTTGATTTAAATACAAAAAATCAATGAAAGGAGAGAGAGAGGAGCTACATTAAATATACAACAGAATGTCCAGGTTTCATTACAAACAGCTTCCGCCTCTTTCCCCAAATTTTTACTTTTTTTTTTAAGACTTGGATCCTTCCAAATTTTCCCCAAAACCAAGAAAAGGTAAACATAAAATAAGAGAGAAAGAAAGGGGAGACTTGTTGACATTCCATTTTGCCTTTTTCTTTCAGGGCCAAAAAAAATTAACATAAAAAACACAAAATTTGCATCGATTGCGAATAAATTAAAAACAACAACAACAATAACAACAGATAAAAAAAAGTTGGAAAGGGGTTGAGAGGAAAGACAACAAGGGCACATCTACACTGGGTGGAAATGTGGGACAGAGGCCTTAGGATAGGTATGGGCAAACTTTGGCCCTTCTTGTGTTTTGGACTACAACTCCCACAATTCCGAACAGCCAGTAGGCTGTTAGGAATTGTGGGAATTGAAGTCCAAAACACCAGGAGGGCCAAAGTTTGCCCATGCCACCTTAAGGCGCTTCCACACAGCCACAAAACTTGGAATATCCCATAATATCCGCTTTGAGCTGGGTTATCTGAGGCTTCACCTCCCACAGTTCCTAACAGCCAGGAGGCTGTTAGGAATTGTGGGAGTTGAAATCCAAAACACCAGGAGGGTCAAAGTTTGTCCATACCTGCCTTAGGGCGCTTCCACACAGCCACAAAACTCGGAATATCCCATAATATCTCCTGGTGTTTTGGACTTCAAGCTCCCACAGTTCCTAACAGCCAGTAGGCTGTTAGGAATTGTGGGAGTTGAAGTCCAAAACACCAGGAGGGCCAAAGTTTGCCCATGCCAGCCTTAGGGTGCTTCCACACAGCCACAAAACTTGGAATATCCCATAATATCTCCTGGTGTTTTGGACTTCAACTCCCACAATTCCTAACTGGCTGTTAGGAATTGTGGGAGTTGAAGTCCAAAACACAAGGAGGGCCACAGTTTGCCCATGACCACCTTAAGGCGCTTCCACACGCCACAAAACTCGGAATATCCCATAATATCCGCTTTGAGCTGGGTTATCTGAGGGCCCTTCCACACAGGCCTACATCCCATAATATCAAGGCAGAAAATCCCACATTATCTGAGTGTGGACTCAGCTAACCCAGTTCAAAGCAGATACTGCATTGTGGGATTTTCTGCCTCGATATTCCGGAATATAGGCCTGTGCGGAAGGGCCCTGAGTCCACACTGCTATATATCCCAGTTCAAAGCAGATTAATGTGAGATTTTGTGGGAACTGGTTAATCCAAATCCGGGATATACATGTTGTGTGATGAAACTGGTTTAAAAAACAAACAAAACTAAATAAACAACCATCAAAATCATCTCAGAACCTGCTTTGTTGGTATGGTGGGGTGCGTCTACACTGCAGGATTAACACAGAATGCATCTACATTGCAGTATTAACACAGTTTGGCTCTACTTTGAAACCATAAACAAAGGGCCCTTCCACACAGCACTATATCCCAGGATATCAAGGCAGAAAATCCCACAATATCTGCTCTGAACCGGGTTATCTGAGTCCATACTCTCATATAATGTGGGATTTTTTTTGCCTTGATATTTTGGGATATAGGCCTGTGTGGAAGGGCCCTAAATCTCTATGGAATCAGGAGTGCTGATCCCCCCCATCAAAATACACTTTCCAGTATCCCATAGCATGGAGCCATGGCAGTTCAAGTGGTGTTAAACTGCATTAATTCAACAGTGTAGATCAGGCATGTGCAAAATTGGGCCCTCCAGGTGTTTTGGGACTTCAACTCTCACAATTCCTAATAGCCTAGGTTAGGTTAGGAAGGTTGAAAAGGAAGGGGCCTGAGGCTGTTAGGAATTGTGGGAGCTGAAGTCCAAAATGCCTGAGGGCCCAAATTTGCCCATGCCTGGCGTAGATGCACCATTTTGCCCATTTGGGGTTCATCTCCACTCTGGAATGGGGTTCATCTACACCCTTTTGGGGTTCATCTACACCCTTTGGCCCCACTCAATGCTGTGTGGGCCCAGAAGACCTCCTTGAGTGACAATTCCCATGATACCATGGCTCAGTGAAAGGGCTTCAAACCACATTCATTCCACAGTGTAGATCAGTAGTTCTCAACCTGGGGTCCCCAGATGTTTTTGGCCTTCAACTCCCAGAAATCCTAACAGCTGGTAAACTGGCTGGGATTTCTGGGAGTTGTAGGCCAGAAACATCTGGGCACCCCAGGTTGAGAACCACCGATGTAGATGCATCTCCATGAACTCCATAGAGTGGCTCCTTCCTGGGGGGGGGGGGGGGGAGGGGGGCAGTCTACACTGACATTTGACACGGTTGCATTGTATGGTTGCATTGTATAGTATCGCTGTGCAGATGGGGCCTCAATCTCACATTTTTTTGGATTAGCATAGATGTGCCCGAAGTTGGGGGAAAAGAGAGGGAATACAAGCAGTCCCCGAGTTACGAACAAGAGGGCTTTGTGGTGGGGGTTGTACATAAGTCGGAACAGGGACCTTTTTAAGTCCAGACAGATAATGAGATAGAGATAGATAGATAGCCAGAGATATAGATAAATATATATCCACACACACACATCTATACATATGTGTGTATTTATATATGTGTGTGTGTATATGTATGTATATATATCTACACAGACATATACACACATATATAAATACACATATATGTATGTATGTATAAATATGTGTGTGTGTGTGTGTGTGTGTGTGTATATGTGTGTGTGTCACATATACATATATATGTCTGTGTATATATATATGTGTGTGTATAGATCTACAGAGACATATATACACACATATATATACATACATGTATGTGTGTGTGTGTGTGTGTGTGTGTATATATATATATATATATATATATATATATATATATGGATATATATGTGTATATGTGTGTATATATCTACACACACACACACACATCCGTAGCCATAGCTGTAGCCATATTATAACGTTAGACTTAGTCATAGTAATAGCCATAGCCATAGTCATAGCCATATCATAGTCTTAGCCATATCATATCATAGCATTAGCCATAGCCATAACCATAGCCATTGCCTTAGCCATAGCCATAGTCATAGCCATATCATAGTCTTAGCCATATCATATCATAGCATTAGCCATAGCCATAACCATAGCCATTGCCTTAGCCATAGCCATAGCCTTAGCCATAACCACAGCCATAACCTTAGCCATAGCTATAGCCATATCATACCATAGTCATCTATCTATCTATCTATCTATCTATCTATCTATCTATCTATCTATCTATCTATCTATCTATCTCTATCCATATAAGGAGTAAGACCCCTGACCCCTGTGGTGTTTTCTTTGCTGCCTGTGCCTCTGTTCAGGAGATTTCCCCTCCCCTTCTGTCCCTGTGAGGATGGGATTTTTGGACAATTTAGCTTGGATTGGGATAAAGCGTCCAATTTTTTTTTGTCGTGTCAGGAGCGACCTGAGAAACTGCAAGTCGCTTCTGGTGTGAGAGAATTGGCCGTCTGCAAGGACGTTGCCCAGGGGACGCCTGGATGATTTGATGTTTTATCATCCTTGCGGGAGGCTTCTCTCATGTCCCCGCATGAGGAGCTGGAGCTGATAGAGGGAGCTCATCTGCCTCTCCCCGGATTCGAACCTGCGACCTTCAGTCCTGCCGGCACAAGGGTTTAACCCACTGCGCCACCGGGGGCTCCACTCCATGAAGCGTCCATGAAGCCCCCTTTCCCTCATGAGTGGATTTCCCTTCCTCTCTCTTTCTGTTATCTTACTTGTGAGTCGTAATCGCAAGCCGGAATGTTCGCAACTCGGGGACTGCCTGTAATGAGGGGAAAACAAAAACCAGACGCCCTCTTCCAAGTCTTTCCTGGCTGGTTGCGGGCGGAAGCCGCCCAGGGTCTCCGTCTGCCACGTCCCACTCGGCGGGGGATTAAAGCTGGGACATACCTTTCTTCAGTTCGTAAGGCGAGTCTTTGCTCAGGTCGAAGTGGGACTGGCTCCGGAGCAGCTTGGTCTCTTTGGCCAAGGCCTCCGCGCGGCTCAAGAGCGTCTGGTGTAATCCGTTCAAAGGGGGCGGAGGGGCCGAAGAAGAAGAGGAGGAGGAGGAGGAGGAAGGTGTGGAGGAGGAGGAGTTGCCATGGAGGTGTCCGAAGGCGCCGTAGTTCGTGTAGCCGGGGTAGAAAGGCCCCGCGGGGTAGTAAAGGGGCCGGGGGAGGGAAGCGGGCCCGCGCGGCGTGGGAGAAGAATCCTCCTCGCTCTCCTTGCTCTTGTCCCCCGACGTGGCGATCTCCGCCAAGGACCACAGCTTGGGCTTCATCGCTGAGCCTTGAGGAGGAGGAGGAGGAGGAAGAGGAGGAGGAGGAGGAGCGGCCGCCTGGATCACCGACGTGACGCCCGCTTTGTGGTGCTCCGCCGACGAAGGGGGTCCGTACACGGAATGGGAGTCCTCCTCGCCCTGGGGGTGATGATGGGACGGGTGCTGAAGGAGCTGAGGGTGGTGGACGTGGAGCAGGAGGCGAGCGGGAGGAGGAGGAGGCGGTTGCGCAGGGTGTTGCTGCGGAGGAGGAGAGGCCGGCTTGAGCAGCAGCTGCTCCTCGGGGCTCTCCTTGCAGTCCGAATCGCTCGAGGCGCCCAAATCCGCTTCTCGGCCCGGAATAGACGCCTTAGGCTCCGTCGAACCTGGAGAGCCGGATGAAGAAGGGAGAGGACAACAATTAGGACCCACGAAGCGCGTGTTGAGCAGTTCTGACCCCTCTTCCTTCAACCCTGAAGGAATGAGGCCTACACTCACAATCTCAAAGACTCTATCACTATCTCTATCACACACCCCCCCCCCCCCCCCAGTTAAACCCATAGACGCCTTAGGCTCCGTCGAACCTGGAGAGCCGGATGAAGAAGGGAGAGGACAACAATTAGGACCCACGAAGCGCGTGTTGAGCAGTTCTGACCCCTCTTCCTTCAACCCTGAAGGAATGAGGCCTACACTCACAATCTCAAAGACTCTATCACTATCTCTATCACACACCCCCCCCCCCCCCAGTTAAACCCATAGACGCCTTAGGCTCCGTCGAACCTGGAGAGCCGGATGAAGAAGGGAGAGGACAACAATTAGGACCCACGAAGCGCGTGTTGAGCAGTTCTGACCCCTCTTCCTTCAACCCTGAAGGAATGAGGCCTACACTCACAATCTCAAAGACTCTATCACTATCTCTATCACACACACACCCCCCCCCCCCCCCCAGGGTGTTGCTGCGGAGGAGGAGAGGCCGGCTTGAGCAGCAGCTGCTCCTCGGGGCTCTCCTTGCAGTCCGAATCGCTCGAGGCGCCCAAATCCGCTTCTCGGCCCGGAATAGACGCCTTAGGCTCCGTCGAACCTGGAGAGCCGGATGAAGAAGGGAGAGGACAACAATTAGGACCCACGAAGTGCGTGTTGTGCAGTTCTGGCACCCCTTCCTTCAACACTGAAGGAATGAAGCCTACACTCCCAATCTCAGAGACTCTCCACTCTATCACTATGTCTAAGAAGCCCCCCCCCCCCCCCCGTAGTGCAATGGGTTAAACCCATAGACGCCTTAGGCTCCGTCGAACCTGGAGAGCGAATTAAGAAGGGAGAGAACAACAATTGGGACCCACGAAGCGCGTGTGGTGCCGTTCTGACGCCCCTTCCTTCAACACTGAAGGAATGAGGCCTACACTCCCAATCTCAGAGACTCTATCACCATGTCTAAGAAGACCCCCCTCCCCGGTGTAATGGGTTAAACCAGTGTTTCTCAATCTGGGGGTCGGGACCCCTGTGGGGGTCACGAGAGGGTGTCAGAGGGGTCACCAAAGACCATCAGAAAACATAGTATTTTCTGTTGGTCATGGGAGTTCTGTGTGAAAGGTTTGGTCCAATTCTATCGTTGATGGGGTTCAGAATGCTATTTCATTGTGGGTGAACTAAAAATCCCAACAACTACAATGCCCAAATGGCAAGGTCTATTTTCTCCAAACTCTACCAGTGTTCACATTTGGGCATATTGAGTATTTGTGCCAAGTTTGATCCAGATCCATCATTGCTTGAGTCCACAGTGTTTTCTGGATGTAGGTGAACTACAACTCCAAATACTCAAGGTCAATGCCCACCAAACCCTTCCAGTATTTTCTCATGGTCATGGGAATTCTGTGTGCCATGTTTGATTCAATTCCATCATTGATGGAGTTCAGAAGGCTCTTTGATTTAAGGTAAACTATAAATCCCAGGAACGCCAGCATTACCAAATGACAAAATCAATCACCCCCAATCTCACCAGTATCACACATGTATATATTGTTGTTGTTCATTTATTCAGTCGTCTCCGACTCTTCGTGACCTCATGGACCAGCCCACGCCAGAGCTCCCTGTCGGCCGTTACCACCCCCAGCTCCCTCAAGGTCAGTCCAGTCACTTCAAGGATGCCATCCATCCATCTTGCCCTTGGTCGGCCCCTCTTCGTTTTGCCTTCCACTTTCCCCAGCATAATTGTCTTCTCTAGGCTTTCCTGTCTCCTCATGATGTGGCCAAAGTACTTCAACTTTGTCTCTAGTATCTTTCCCTCCAGTGAGCAGTCGGGCTTTATTTCCTGGAGGAATGTTCAACACTACTACTATCAGTCCAAGGCACTCTCATGACTTTCCTCCAACACCACAGTTCAAAAGCATCGATCTTCCTTCGCTCAGCCTTCCCTAAGGTCCAGCTCTCACATCCGTAGGTGACTACAGGGAATACCATGGCTTTGACTAGGCGGATCTTTGTTGCCAGTGTGATGTCTCTACTCTTTACTATTTTATCGAGACTGGACATTGCTCTCCTCCCAAGAAGTAAGCGTCTTCTGATTTCCTGGCTATAGTCTGCATCTGCAGTAATCTTTGCACCTAGAAATACAAAGTCTGTCACGGCCTCCACGGTTTCTCCCTCTATTTTCCAGTTGTCAATAATTCTTGTTGCCATAATCTTGGTTTTTTTGACGTTTAGCTGCAACCCGGCTTTTGTGCTTTCTTCTTTCACCTTGATTAGAAGGCTCCTCAGCTCCTCCTCGCTTTCGGCCATCAGAGTGGTGTCATCTGCATATCTGAGGTTGTTAATGTTTCTTCCAGCAATTTTCACCCCAGCTTTGCATTCATCCAAGCCCCGCACATCGCATGATGTGTTCTGCATACAAGTTAAAAAGGTTGGGTGAGAGTATACAACCCTGAAGTACGCCTTTCCCAATCTTTAACTAGTCTGTTGTTCCATGGTCAGTTCTTACTGTTGCTACTTGGTCCTTATACAGATTCCTCAGGAGAGAGATAAGGTGTTTTGGTATGCCCATACCACCAAGAACTTGCCACAATTTATTATGATCCACACAGTCAAAGGCTTTAGAATAGTCAATGAAGAAGAAGTAGATGTTTTTCTGAAACTCCCTGCCTTTCTCCATTATCCAGCGGATATTGGCAATCTGGTCTCTCGTTCCTCTGCCTTTTCTAAACCCAGCTTGAACATCTGGCAACTCTCGCTCCATGTATTGCTGGAGTCTTCCTTGCAGGATCTTGAGCATTACCTTACTGGCATGAGAGATAAGGGCCACTGTACGGAAGTTTGAGCAGTCTTTCGCATTTCCCTTTTTTGGTATGGGGATATAAGTTGATTTTTTCCAGTCTGATGGCCATATTTGTGCTAAATTTGGTCCAGTTAATGAAAATACATCCTGCATATTTACTTTATGACTGTTTTAACAGTAGCAAAATTACAGTTATGAAGTAGCAACGAAAATAACGTTATGGTTGGAGGTCACCAAAACATGAGGACGTGCACATTAGGAAGGTTGAGAACCACTAAACCCTTGTGAAAGCAGGATCCAGGAACATCGTTGTCCCCTGGGCAACGTCCTTGCAGACGGCCAGTTCTCTCACACCAGGGTTAAACTCTTGTGAAAGCAGGATCCAGGGAGAGCTGGGATGAGCTCCCTCTATCAGCTCTAGCTCCTCGTGCGGGGACTTGAGAGAAGCCTCCCACAAGCAGGGCAAAACATCGAGAAGTCCCCTGGGGAACGTCCTTGCAGACGGCCAATTTTCTCACGCCAGGGTTAAACTCTTGTGAAAGCAGGATCCAGGGAGAGCTGGGATGAGCACCCTCTGTCAGCTCTAGCTCCTCGTGCGGGGACATGAGAGAAGCCTCCCACAAGGAGGGCAAAACATGGGGACGTCCCCTGGGCAACGTCGTTGCAGATGGCCAATTCTCTCACACCAGGGTTAAACTCTTGTGAAAGCAGGATCCATGGAGAGTTGGGATGAGCTCCCTCTGTCAGCTCCAGCTCCTCATGCGGGGACATGAGAGAAGCCTCCCACAAGGAGGGTAAAACATCGGAAAGTCCCCTGGGCAACGTCCTCGCAGACGGCCAATTCTCTCACATCAGAAGCGACTTGATACGGAAAACTGAATAACAAGGATTAAACCCTTGCGCCAGCAAGATCCAGGGAGAGTTGGGATGAGCTCCCTCTATCAGTTCCAGCTTCTCATGCGGGGACTTAAGAGAAGCCTCCCACAAGGAGGGCAATACATCGGGACGTCCCCTGGGGAACGTCCTTACAGACAGCCAATTCTCCCACATCAGAAGCGACTTGATACGGGGGAAAAATATACGTCTTGAATCACAAGGGTTAAACCCTAGTGCCAGCTGGTTAGAGGTTTGACTCAAGAGAGCAGGGCGAGCTCCCATCTGTCAGCTCCAGCTTCCCATGCCGGGACATGAGAGAAGTCTCCCACAGGATGGTCAAACACGGCGTCCTTTGAGAAACGTTCTTGCAGACCGCCAGTTTTTTCACACGCAAAACTCCAGTGATTTCGGGCTGTGAAAGCTTTCCAATTTTTTGAGGTTCTGGAGGTTCACCCTCTTCCTCCCCTTCCCAAGGAGTCTTTAGGGGCGCCTGCACTGCCTATTTTAACCCACTTTGACCCCATTTTATGGCATCTCGGTCCTTGTTGTTTGCACTCCCCGGCAGGGAAGGTTCCCAACCTTCTCAGTTCCCTTGAGTCCATCACATGGTGTCCACCTGCATTCATCTCACAATGGCACCGCAAGCTTTCCTAGACCAGGAGAAGAAGAAGTCGCCCACCAAAGCGACTATGAAGATATATACATATACATACATACATACATACATACATACATACATACATACATACATATATATATATATATATATATAGTCCCCTCCAGCTTCCAAAGTGCTACAAGATAGTGATGTTCCAGACTTAACAGCAATTTCTCTCCCCAAGGAACTCTTCCACTCAAAGAACTCTTCTCCAAGCCCAACTCCACTGGTCCATCAGGACTCCAAGTCTGACACTGAATCCAGTCCCAACCAATATGGACAACCCGAATTGAAGGAATCTGAGGCCCCTTCCACACAGCTGAATAAAATCCCGCATTTTCTGCTTTGAACTGGAATATATGACAATGTGGACTCATATAACCCAGTTCAAAGAAGATATTGTGGGAATTTCTGCCTTAATATTCTGTGTGGATATGGCTGTGTGGAAGAGCCCTGAAGTCCCTTCCTCACTCAGAACGTCAGGGTAGATAATCCACAATATCTGCTTTGAACTGGAATATCTGAGTCCATATTGCCATATAACGTGGATTTTATGCAGCTGAGTGGAAGGACCCTGAGGTCCAGGAACTCAAGTTTGAAGGCAACTGGGTCAAGTCCGTGTCAATGCTTCTCACGGATCTCGGAGTCTCTCCTCTCCATTTGGGCTTAAGGTTTTACCACTTCAGTATAGGAGGATGGCCCTGACCTAGCTCCAAGTATACAGTCCTCCAGCTGTTGTGGACTATCACCTTCCGCATTCTTAGAGGCTGCTGGGACTTGCAATCCAACATCATCTATCCTTGACCCAGGCTGGGAAAGCGACTCTTCCCAGCCTGGGTCAAGGAGAGATGATGTTGGACTATTCCTTCCCCACGAGCCTACTTCAACTGGTTTTCTGAAATATCTCGCCTCCCTTTGGTGGCCCAGATCATCTTCTCCTCTGAGGTTCAGGCCCAAGCAGGGAGTCTTTTGACCTTCTCCCAAGCTTCCCCTCCGTCTTACCGCCCACACTTCCTCTCTCTCCCGTCCATTCCTATGACTCTCCTTCAACTGGGCCTCCCAAACTTCTCGCCTCCCTCTGGTGGCCCAGGTCATCTTGTCCTCGGAGGTTCAGGCCCAAGCAGGGAGTCTTTTGACCTTCTCCCAAGCTTCTCCTCCGTCTTACCGTCCACACGTCCTCTCTCTCCCGTCCATTCCTATGACTCTCCTTCTACTGGGCCTCCCAAACATCTCGCCTCTCTCTGGTAGCCCAGGTCAATGTCTCCCCGTAAGTCCAGACCAAAGAAAGGAGCCTTCTGCTCTTCTCCCGAGATTCCCTTCCCTCTCAGCCTCCCTCCTTACCGATCTCCGTGGTCTCGGGGTCGCCCTTCTCCTCCACCTTCTGGGCATCCTCCTCGTCGTTCTTCTCCAGGTCGATGTTCTCCTCCTCTTCCTCGTCTTCGCTTCGGTTCCTCGGGGTCCAGGTCATCTTGTTCTCCTTCTTGAGCCTTCTCCGGGCGTTGGCGAACCACGTAGAGACCTGGGTCAGGGTCATCTTGGTGATGATGGCCAGCATGATCTTCTCGCCCTTGGTCGGGTAAGGGTTCTTGCGGTGCTCGTTCAGCCAGGCCTTGAGCGTGGCGGTGGCGTCGCGGGTGGCGTTCTTCCGGTAGGCCGGGTCGCCGTAGGGGTAGGAGCCCAAGGGGGCCGCGTAGGGGTGGTAGCCCAGGGAGCCCGCCATGCCCGGGCTGTGGTCGTAGGGAGAGCCCTAGAGACAGAGGGGTCGAGAAAGAGAGGTGAAGAGGACGAAGGAAGGAGGCCAGAGGAGAGCATATGTATTGGCACGTCTGAATGTTACCATGGAGCAAGACCTCTCCATAGGACCCATATTTCCTCCACCCCAAAGCCCTCTCCATAGGACTCTAGACTTCCTCCACCCCAAAGACACATATTTCTTCTACCCAAAGGATATCTCCATAGGACCCATATTTCCTCCACCCCAAAGCCCTCTCCATAGGACTCTAGACTTCCTCCACCCCAAAGACACATATTTCTTCCACCCAAAGGATATCTCCATAGGACCCATATTTTCTCCACCCCAAAGCCCTCTCCATAGGACTCTAGACTTCCTCCACCCCAAAGATCCATATTTCTTCTACCCAAAGCATATTTCCATAGGATCCATATTTCCTCTAACCCAAAGACATTTCCATAGGACTCCAATTTCCTTGACCCTAAGTTCTTCCACCCCAAACAATTTCCATTAAAACCTAGATTTCCTCCACCCAAGGGACATCTCCATAAGGCCCAAAATTCCCTCCACTCAATACATTACCATAGGATCCCAGATTTTCTCCACCCTGAATACATTTCTATGGAACCCTAATATCCTCCACCCTTAATACATCTCTATTAGAACCTAGATTTCCTCCACCCAAAGGACATCTCCATAGAACTCTATTTTCTCTACCCCAAATAAATGTCTATAGGACCCCAATTTCCTCCACCCAAAGGACATCCCCATAGGACCCTAGATTTTCTCCACCCTTAATACATTTCTATGGGAACCAAACTTCCTCCGACCAAAGGACATCTCCATAGGACTCATATTTCTTCCACCCTAAAGATCTCCCCATCAAAACCTAGATGTCCTCCACCCAAAGAAGATCTCCACTGGACTCTCGATTTCCTCCACCCAAATACATTTCCAAAAGACCTCAATTTCCTTCACCCAAAGGACATCTCTATAGGGCTGTAATTTCCTCCACTCCAAAGACATCTTCATTAGAACCTAGGTGTCCTCCACACCAAATAGTAATACATTTCTATAGGTAATTTCTCCACCTCCATTTGAACCCCGATTTCCTTCCCGCTAAGGATTCCTGTTCTTTTCTCGCTTCTCATTCTCGACCTGGCCGATTCGCGTGTCGCCGAACCCAAGCCGGCTAAACACGCGTCGACCTCCAAACGTCTGGAGGCGGGTTCAAGACATTTCCTCGTTGCTGCTGTTATTCAGCTGACAACAAGGGACTCCTCCACCTGCCCTTTGTATACAAAAATCCCCTTGTGTTTTTCTCCATTTGAGAAGCGGGATTGGGACCAATCAAACCCATTCTCAAATGAAAACCGGGGGTATTAAACCCGGAATCTTCTCAACTTTCGCTTTGGAACCAAGTTGTCCAACTCTTGAATAGGAGAAGAAACCCAGTCGAGTTGGAAGGACGGGGAATGGGAAGAGAAAGAAGCGAAACGGGAGGGAAAAAAAAATCAAAAATCGAGCTGCTTCCTTGTGGAAAAAGGTTTGCCAGGATCCACATTGGCTCCGAGGATTCCTTAAGGGCTCTAAAGGGAGAGCAATTGGGAGGCTGAGGGCTTGAAATCTGGTATGTCATCCTCAGATGAATAAGGGCAGTGGTAAGGAAGGTGCTGATGATGAGGATGATATAATAACAATAAATATTATTATATTATATTATATTATATTATATTATATTATATTATATTATATTATATTATATTATATTATATTATATTATATATTATATTATATTATATTATATTATATTATATTATATTATATTATATTATATTATATTATATTATATTATATTATATTATATTATATTATATTATATTATATTATATTATATTATATTATGGTGGCGGGGTACAAATAAAGATAATAATAATAATATATTATATAATAGTGGCGGGGCACAATTAAAGATAAAATAATAAAATAATATATAACATAATAATAATATAATATAACAGTGGCGGGGCACAATTAAAGATAAAAATAATAAAAATAAATAATAATATATAATATAATATGATATCATATAATATTATATAATGGTGGTGGCGGGGTACAAATATAGATAAAGTAATAATAATAATAATAATAATAATAATAATAATAATAAATATGATATAATATATTATGGTGGCGCGTAGAACTAAAGATAATAATAATAAAATAATAAAAATAATATATAATATAATAATATGATATAATATAACATTATATAATGGTGGCGGGGCACTAAAGATAAAAATAATAAAAATAATATATAATATAATAATAAAATAAAAATATTAATGTATAATATAATGATATGATATAATATAATATTATACTATGGTGGCGGGGTACAAATAAAGAAAGATATAATAATAATAATAATAATAATAATAATAATAATAATAATAATAATAATAATAATAATAAATGATATAATATATTAGGGTGGTGGGGTACAACTAAAGATAATAATAATAATAATAATAATAATAATAATATAATATGATATAAAATAACATTATATAATGGTGGCGGGGCACTAAAGATAAAAATAATAAAAATAATATATAATAATAATAATATGATATAATATTATATTATACTATGGTAGCGGGGTACTACTACTACTACTACTACTACTAATATATAATAATATGATATAATATTATATTATACTATGGTGGCGGGGCACTAATAAAGATAATAATATAATGTAATAAAATGATATAAAATTCTACTATAATAATAATAATAATAATAATAATAATAATAATAATAATAATAATAATAATAATAGGTTTTGCAATGCAAGGGGAAAGTTAAAGCGCCATAGAAAGCGTCAGAGAGCGCTCTTTTCTTCCTCCCTTCTCCTTTCTGTTCTTTTTTTTCTTCCTTCGGCAGTCAAACGGAGAGAAATCTCAATGGTTGGGCTCGACTTGGATGCAAACAATTGCAAGTCTGGGAATATAATATAATATAATATAATAATATAATGTGTGTTTGTGTTCCTTTTGAGAGACACTCATACCTCTCTTACCACCCAAGAGCAGAACTTCATAACTAAATCGCCACCATCCCGCTTTCATGCGTTGCTCAAACTCAAAGCAAAGTCGCATGCAAAGTGGAGACATGCGGCATGAAATCCGCGCTCGTGTGCTCTTCTTTCGCGGCGGAAAGCGCAGCACCTTTTTGTATAACCCGAAATATATATTTAAAGGCGAGGAAGCAAGTTCGTAGGAGCAAAGTGAGTCCTCCAAGAAAGGGTTGACGATTTCGACCCCGCCGCCCTCGGATGCCACCTTTCCACCTTTGATTTCGTCTAAATTAAATAGAAAAGGGGAAAAAATGCCAGACCTTGAAGCTACAAGGCCATTAAATGCCAATCAAGGTGGCCAATTGCAACATTCAAACAGAAAAGATTTCTTTCTCCCACCCTGGACGTTATTCCATAGATATATAAACCCATTTTTCCTAGTTTCCAACAGACTTCACAAAATCTGAGGATGCCTGCCATAGATGCAGGCGAAACGTCAGGAGAGAATGCTTCCGGAAAACTCACAACAACTCGGCCGTGAAAGCCTTCAAAAATACAAAAGAAAAATATGTTTTTGTCTTCCTCGTCCCACCCCAAAAAGTGCAATCTGGAATGGATTCCTTTCCTCCTTCGCTTTAGGCTTGGATTCCGAACCTGGAAAGGGGAGGAACGGGAACGCGTTACTCCTGAGTAAACGCGGGGAGAAAAAGATTTCTCCAGTCTCCAAAAAAGACCCTTTTCCCCCTCTCTCTCTCCCTGGTTCGAATCAGGGTTTCAGCTGCTCCCCTTTCTCCCCAAGAGGGTCCAACCTGTCGCTGAGAAAAGAGGGAAGAGATTATGGTGTTCCCAAAGTGCCTTCCCAGCCCCAGAATCCTTGCTTTGGGGGATTGAGAGCCTTGGGGGGAGAGCAAGGCGTGAAGAGAAGGCGCTGGTGTTCCCTCCAAACGCCAGCCCCTTCCCAAAGTGCCTTCCGAGCCCCCCAAATCCTTGCTTTGGGGATTGTGGGAGGGGGAAGCGCCTTGGGAGAAGAGAAGGCGCTCCAAACGCAAGCCCCTTTCCCAAAGTGCCTTCCGAGCCTCCCAAATCCTTGCTTGGGGGGATTGTAAGGGGGGAGAAAGAGCCTTGGGAGGAGGGGGAGAGAAGGTGCTGGTGTTCCCTCAAAACTGAAGCCCCTTCCGAACCCCAGAATCATTGTTTTGGGGGGATTGGGAGAGGGGAAAGTGCCTTGGGCGGAGGTGAAGAGTAGGCGCCGGGGTTCCCTCCAAAGGCCAGTCCCTTCCCAAAGTGCTTTCCGAGCCACAGAATCCTTGTTTTGGGAGATTGTGAGAGGGAAAGGCGACCCTTGGAGAGCCTTGGGTGCCCTTTGAGAAGGAAAGGCAACCCTTGGAGAGCCTTGAAAGCACTTGGAGAGCGAAAAGCGACCCTTGGAGAGCCTTGGGAGCCCCTTGAAAGGGAAAGGCGACCCTTGGAGAGCCTTGGGTGCCCTTTGAGAAGGAAAGGCGACCCTTGGAAAGACTTGGCAGCCCTTCGAGAGGGAAAGGCGACCCTTGGAGAGCCTTGGAGATGGTGAGGGGGAAAGGCGACCCTTAGAGAGCCTTGGGAGCCCTTGGAGAGGGAAAGGCGACTCTCGGAAAGCTTTGGAGAGGGAAAAGCGACCTTTGGAGAGCCTTGGGAGCCCCTGAGAGGGAAGGGCGACTCTTGGAGAGCCTTGGATGCCCCTTGAAAGGGAAATGCGACCCTTGGAGAGCCTTGGGGGCCCTTGGAGAGGGAAAGGCGACCCGTGGAAAGACTTGGGAGCCCTTCGAGAGGGAAAGGCGACCCTTGAAGAGCCTTGGAGAGGAAAAATCGACTCTTGGAGAGCTTTGGAGAGGAAAAAGCGACCTTTGGAGAGCCTTGGGAGCCCCTGAGAAGGAAGGGCGACTCTTGGAGAGCCTTGGATGCCCCTTGAAAGGAAAATGCGACCCTTGGAGAGCCTTGGGGGCCCTTGGAGAGGGAAAGGCGACCCTCGGAAAGCCTTGGAGAGGAAAAAGCGACCCTTGGAGAGCCTTGGGAGCCCCTGAGAGGGAAGGGCGACCCTTGGAGAGGGAAAGGCGACCCTTGGAGAGCCCTGGAAGCGCTTGGAGAGGGAAAGGCGACTCTTGAAGAGCCTTGGGAGACTGTGGGAAGGAGAGGCGACCCTTGGAGAGCCTTGGGAGCCCTTGGAGAGGGAAAAGCGACCCTTGGAGAGCCTTGGGAGTCCTGTAGGGCCGCCGGACTCACCACGTAGGAGGAGAAGGCAGCGGCGGCAGCGGCAGCGGGGTCGGCTCCGTACTGGAGGTGGGATCCGTACCCTCCGGGCGAGGGCGCGCTGAAGGCGGTGGATCCGGCGTAAGGCGAGAAGGCCGAGCCCGAGGAGGAGCGCCCGAGTTCTTCGGTGCGGGGCCCGGAGAGGACGCCGGGGCTGTAGGCCGGGCAGGAGTAGAGCGCCAGGGAGGCCGACGGCTGGTACAAATAGCCCGGAGGGTACGACATGGCACCATAGACCCAGCCGCAGCCCCGGAGAGCGACCCGCAGCTCCGGGACTTGACGACTCCCTCCTCCTCCTCCTCTTCTTCTGCTTCTCCGAGGGTCCGCTCAGCACTCCTTGGACGCCTGTGACACCTCTTGTCCTTCCTTCCCTCCCTTCCCTCCCCGAGAGGGGCTTCTCCTCTTCTCTGGCCCCTCTTCTCCTCCTCCTTCTTGTCTTTCTTTCCTTCCTTTCTTTCTCCTTCGCTCTTCACAACCTCGCCTTTTTTGCGCGCTCCGCCCGAAGGAAAGGGAAAAAAAAAGGTCCTGCCAAAGAGGAGAAGAAGTGAGAGCCGGGGAAGAAGGGATGGTTGTGACGCGGCTCCGACGAGGACCAGGAAGCCCCTCCTTCCCAGAGAGAGAGAAGAGAGAGAGAGAGAGAGAGAGAAAGAGGGGGAGTTTGGGGAGGAGAAAGAGAGAGAGAGAGAAAGAGAGTGAGAAAGGGGAGGCTGGTTCCTGCTGGGCTTGCAAGCGAAGCCAACCAGCCAGAGCGTTCTCTCTCTCTCTCTCTCTCTCTGTGTGTGTGTGTTTCCCACCCTCCTCTCTCTCTCTTTCTCTCTTTGGCTCAACTGCGCCGGCCTCTGGCTGCCGGGCTCTTTTCCCCTTCCAACTTTCTTCCCTTTCTTCCTTTCGCCCAGGATTTATAGCCCGGCTCTCCCCTCCCTCCTTCTCTTCCCGGCCTTTGGAACTCGCCAAGGCACTCACTTGATGAAATAAGATTTCATAACAAGACGGGCTCGCCGTTCCGAAACAAAAACACAACAAGAAGCCGAGAGAGAGAAGGGAGAAGGGAGAAAGGAGAAGGGAAAAGGGAGAAGGGCCAGCGAAGGAGGGCACGCAGCTCCAGGCGCTCTTCTCGGGAAGGAAAAGGCGACAGAGACACAAGCGGAGAGACCCTCTCAACTACTTCCTTACACTAAAAAAAGAATCCAAAATAATAATAATAATAATAATAATAATAATAATAATAATAATAATAATAATATAATGATAATAATAAAGAAAAATCTGGAGTGTATCCTCCTGCAGAGTTCTGGGGTTTGTAGTTTAGCGAGGCTGTTAAAGGCTCCTCCCTAAACTACAAAGCCCAGAATTCTGCAGGAAGCAGAAACCGGATTCGAAGTGGATTCGTTCTCTTGTGTGATGAGATAGCCAAGAGAATTGGAGGAGCTCTCTTCGCTCTCTCCCTGTTCTCTTCTCTCTTCTTCCTCTCTTCTCTTTCTCTCGCCTCTCTTTATTCTCGTCCCTCTCTCTCTTCTCTCTTTCTTCCTCTCTTCACTCTCTCTCCTCCCACTTCTCTCTCTCGTAATCTCTTTCTCCTCTCCTCTCTTTCTTTTCTATGTTTCTTCTCTCTCTGTTCTCTGTTCTCTCTTCTTTCTCTTTTCTCTTTCCTTTCTTTATTCTCTCCGCTCCCTTTCTCTCTCCTTTCTCCCTCTCTTCACTCTCTTTATTTCCCCTCCCCCCTCTCTTCTCTTCTTTCTCACTTTTCCTCTGTTCTCTCCTCTCTCTCCTCTCTCTCCTCGCTTTATTCTCTCCCCTCCCTTTCTTTCTTCTTTCTCCCTCTCTTCACTCTCTCTCCTCCCACTCCTCTCTCTATTCTCTCCTCTCTGTATTTTCTCTTTCTTTTTCTCTTCTTTCTCTTCTTTCTCTACTCTCTTTTCTCTCTTCTTTCTCCCTCTCTTCACTCTTTCCCTCTCTTCTCTCCTTCCTTTCTCTCTTTATTCTCTCACCTCTCTGTATTCTTTTTTTCTCTTCTATCTCTCTTCTTCCTCTGTTCTCTCCTCTCTCTCCTCTCTCTCTCTCCCCTCTCTCCCCCCCTCTCTGTCTTCTTTCTTCCACTCTTCTTTCCCCCTCTCTCTTCTCTCTCGTCTCTTTCTTCTCTCCTCTGTCTTTTCTCTCTTTTCTCTTCTCTCTTTGCTCTCTCGTCTCTCTCCTCTCCTCTATTATTTCTCCCTCTTTTCTCTCTCCTCTCTTTTCTCGCTCTCCTCTCTCTCTTCTCTCTGCCTTCTCTCTCCTTTTCTGTCTTCTCTCTCCCTCCCTCTCTCTAAATTAATGATGTTTAGAAAGCAAACTGAAGGCAAGGTTTTGTCCCCAATGCTTCCTTTCCGACTTCTTTTTGGAACCCACGCTATAGTTCTCTCCGCCGCTTCCTTGCACAATGGCATTGCCATACGGACTCCGCCCGTTCGGCCCCCCGAAATGTCGCGTGACGAAACTGTTTTAAAACAAGGGGGCGTTTCCGCCCCACTTTTACCCCCCCCCCCCCCCAAGCAAAGCCCTTCCTTCAAGCTTTGTGGGTCTGTTTGCAGGTTGTTATGATGACATTTATCAACACAATTATTTCTGTCCCCATTTCTCCAGCGAGTGTGGACAGCAAAGGCTCTCCAGCTTCAGCAAACGGAGGTAGAAGCCGAACCAAGAGCCAGATTCCTTCACTCTCTCGCTCCCTTTGCAATGCAGAGAAGGGTCTAAAGCGGATTAACGCCATATGGGCCCAGAGCAAATCCACGCCAATCGCGGACTGTAATCTCCTATGATAGGCGCAGATCTCTTTCCCTGCAGGAAGATATAGATCTGTCTATCTATCTATCTACCTTTCCCCTTGGCGGCTTCTTCTTCTTCTTCTTCTTCTTCCTCCCCCCCCTCCTCCTCCTCTTCTTCTTCTCTCCTCCTCCTCCTCTTTTTCTTCTCCTCCTCCTCCTCTTCTTCCTCTCCTCCTCCTCCTCCTCTTCTTCTCTCCTCCTCCTCCTCTTCTTCTTCTTCCTCTCCTCCTCCTCCTCTTCTTCTTCTTCCTCCTCTCTTCCTCCTCTCCTCCTCCTCTTCTTCTTTCTTCTTCTTCCTCTCCTCTGTGTCCCACTCCCTCTTTCTCCTCCTCCTCCTCCTCTTCTCTTTCTCTCTCTCTTATGATAAGAGAAAACCACCAACAACCAGAAGGTTAGGCGGCCTGGGTTAATGTTCACGTGTCAGTTGATGCACACGTGTTCTCGCCTCTTGAAACTACCATGGCCAGCCAAGGCGACGGAGATCCCTCTTTTCGCCTCGCGAGGGAAGCGGGGGGGGGGGGGGAGACGCTACAGCACATTTGCAAAAATGACAATGGGAAAAAGCAAAGGTACATTTTGGGTTAAACTTTTGCAAAGCCTAAGAGAGGAGGAGGAGAGAGAAGGAAGGAAGAAGAAGAGAGAAGGAAGAAGAGAAGAAAAAAGGGAAGAAAAAGAGAAGGAAAGGAAGGAAAGAGGGAAAAGAAAGGAGAAGAGGAAAAAAGAAAGAAGAGGAAAAGAGGGGAAGAAAGAAAGAAGAGAAAGGAAGGAGGAGAGGAAGAAGAAAGAAGAGGATGAAGAAGAGGAAGAAGAAGAGGCGGAAGAGGAAGAAGAGGAAGAGTAGGAAGAAGGGGAAGAGGAAGGAGGAAGAAGAGAAGAAAGAGGAGGAGGATGAAGAAGAAGGGGCGGAAGAGGAGTAAGAAGAAGAAGAGGAGGAGAAGGAAGATGAGAAGGAAGAAGAGGAAGAGGAAGAAGAGTAGGAGGATCTTCGTTATGAGGGGTCCTTGCCTGGCTCTTCACTTTGACTGCCCTGGCTAAATGCTGTGGAATCCTGGGAGTTGTAGTTGGACAAGGCACTTGCCTCCCGGGTCTGGTCAAACTACAACTCCCAGAGCCTCATAGCTTTGCGCCATGGCAGCGATAAGTGGTGCTAAACTGCATTCATTCTAGTGTGGATGTACCCTTTGTTGTACCTCAGAAATGCTTGAGTACATTCACCCAAGAAACACTCAAACTGCATTACTAGGAATAGTGAGCATATTATTATTATTATTATTATTATTATTATTATTATTACATATTATTATATTATTACTATTATTATTATTATTATTATTATTATTATTATTAGTCGTCGCAGTAAGTTGTTATTATTATTATTATTAATAATAGTAATAGGATCGCCGGTAAAAATAAATCACGACGAACAACTACACAAACCAACAAAGTCTCCACGCCATTGAGCAGATCTCGGCGGTGGGGGAAAGGGAGGCGTGGACATCCCATAATACAAAGCCCGGAGTCTCAGACCAACCCTCTCCTCGCAGACAGAGCCATTCTTCCCGCTGCATTTAGAATTCCTTGAGAAGATAGGACTAAATAAGCTAATTATGATCATCACCGTCCCAGGGTGTGTCTACACTGCGGAATGAATGCAGTTTGGCGCCGCTTTCGCTAACTCAGTGCTACAGCGTTCTGGGAGTTATAGTTTGCAATCTGGAGACCTTGCAGAACTACAACTCCCAGGGTTTCCCCATAACATTTAGCCAGAGCAGTTGAAGGAGTGTTGGTGTAATCTCACCTTTTTTTTGTTCCTGGGTTATCAAAGTCATTGCCTAATGCCTTCTATCAACAAAACAATGGGAAAGTTTATGAAACTGCCCAAACTTTGTTTCTTCGGGACGTCCTCCAGCACATTTTGCTCTAGTTTTTCAATGGATATCTCACAGAGAACTCAACCAATTCAACAGAGTTTGTGGCAGACACAAAAACGAAGTTTCTGCAGGAGAACAACGTCTATTGAAGCGGGGACTGCACAATTAGAAAGGAAATAACACTTTCACACCAGGAACAGAACATTTGTTTTCAAATTTTGTTATGAGCGCATACGAAGCATTAAATGCATGCCCCTTCCTTCCTTCCTTCCTTCCTTCCTTCCTTCCTTCCTTCCTTCCATCCATCCTCCTTCCTTCCTTCCTTCCACTCTTCCTTCTCCTTCCTTCTTCCTTCCTTCCTTCCTTCCTTCCTTCCTTCCTTTTCCATCCATCCTCCTTCCTTCCACTCTTCCCTTTCCTTCCTTCCTTCCTTCCTTCCTTCCCTTCTTCCTTCCATTGCTCCCATTCCTTTCCTCCTTCCTCCTTCCTTCCTTCCTTCCTTCCTTCCTTCGTCCTTCCTTCCTTCCCTTCCCTTTCCTTCCTTCTTCCTTCCTTCCTTCCTTCCTTCCTTCCTTCCTTCCTTCCTTCCGCTTCTCTCCTTCCTTCCTTCCTTCCCCCCTCCTCTTCCTTTTTCCTTCCTCCTTCCTTGTTTCTCTCCCTTTCTTTCTTTCTTTCTTTCTTTTCTTTCTTTCTTTTCTTCTTTCTCCTCCTTCCCTCCCTCCCTTCCCTCTTTCCTCCCCCCTCCTTCTCCCTTTCCCTCTTTCCCTTCTTCTCTCTTTTCTTTCTTCCTCCTTTTCCTCCCCTTCCTCCTCTTTCCTTCCTTCTTTCTCCTTCCTCCTCCTTCTTCTTCCTCCTCTTTCTTTCCCTCCTTTCCTTCCTTCCTTCCTTCCTTCCTTCTCTCCCTTCCTTTCTCCCTCTTTCCTTTCCTTCCTTCCTTCCTTTCCTTCCATTTTCCTTCCTTCCTTCTTTCCTCCTTCCCTCCTTCTTTCCTTCTCTTCTTCTTCTTTCCTTCTCTTTCCTCCTTCCCTTCCTTCCTTCCTTTTCTTCCTTCTTTCCTTCCTTCCTTTCTTTCTTGTAAAGGA